GCCCACCCCCGTTGCATCGAAGGGCCAGCCTCGCCATGGATTCGATTCCAGAGATACTTTCGGTGAGTCCACCGTTCGCGGCTACTTTACTCTTTGAGTGGGTTACATCTTGTTCTAGTGAACACCCTGTGTAATCGTAAGAACTGTTGGAAATAATCGTGATGTGAATAGTAATGGTAATAATAATAGAATGATATATCTATTGAGTGTGTTATATTGCACTGAACACCTTATATGATAGTAACTGTTATTCTATTATTATTGCTATTTAGTAGTACTATTGTTATTCATATCATGATTACTTCTAGTATCTATTGAGTGTGTTATATCACATTCCACTGAGCACCCTATATAATAGTAGTAACTGTTAGAAATAATCGTGATGTGAATAGTAATAATAATAATAATAGAATAATTATATATTCATTATATATTCCTATATATTCACAGTAACTATTATTCTATTATTATTACTATTTATTACTACTACTGCTATCCATATCATAATCATTTCTATTACCCATTGAGCATGTTACCACCATGCCAAAAACCACTCAAACAACCTACATTTAAATTCTCTTACAATCTCCATAGAATTTCCCATCTATTCCTACATTCTCCAATTAACAGCTCCAATTCCTCTTAAGAAAACCCCATCAAACTTGCTCACTCCATTATCCATCCAATTACCTAACCACACAGTTACCATAGGAAAACACCGTCGGTATAGTTACCGATGTTTACATTTTACACCGCTCCAGGGTTAACTTATTACCCCGAACACGACATCTACAACAATTCGAGGTTCGAGATTATTTGAACCTCAAGTCGTGACGGCGACTCGTTTCCGTCAACCGACAGTATCGTCGCATCGTCAGGCATAAATAGATCTCCACGAAGGATAACGAAGACGGTGAGTAAGTCTGTTAACACGTTAAGCGCCATGTCAATCACTGGTGACTGACGCTTCCGAATGACTAGAAAACAATCGTAACATACAAGACAACCGATGTTGAATGAAGATGTTTAATAACCTAACAAAGTTGATAATAGCGCACTGCAAGGATTGTAACGTCAAATAATTAATAATTGTTCCTGCTTTTCTTTGCTACAACAGAAAAACTCCAGGGGAAAACGCTTAAGATTTTCGTGGCGCTTAACGTGTTAACGATTTCGCGGGCGTTCGACGAGTTGGCGAGGCCCGAATGCGGCGAGCGATCGTGTTCCTCCGCGGCGGAAAATCGACGGACCGTGACGGTCACTGATTGCCGGGTGCGATGGGACGTGACGGTTCACAGGAATAGTCCGCGATGCCGGTTCCAATCCTGCCGAGATTTAGGTCGGCGGACCTCGCGTCCTCGGCGAAGGATATTGCCCTCCTTCCGAGGTTTTTCAAAGAAACCGGATCCTCCGGGGCGAGTGACTTTGATCAGACTCCGGATGGTTTTCCCCGCGACGTATACCGCGTCGGGGGCTGTTTGTATTACTGATTGGGCCGCCGCACTCTCGTGTAACGCTCGTGTTCTTTCATGTACAGGATGTCGCCGAGCGGAATTGAAGGTATCGATGGCGACGCCAGCGACGTGCTGCCGTCTGTGGACAGGACTCGGAAATCTGACTAGATGGAGATTGGTTGTTGTTCGATGGTAAGCAGTCCTTGCTGTGACATGATTTTCATTTGAAATATTAACCCTTTGCACTCGGGAGGTGACTCTCAGTCGCTATTCGATTTGGCACAGGAAAATTACGTAGTGTAATATTTAATGTTTAGTTTCGTGTGATGCATTCATATGTGAAATATTAAAATAAAACAGCCTCTTTCTTCAATTTATGTATTATGTATCTTTGGTAGAAAACTCTTGGAGTGCAAAGGGTTAACCCTTTGCGGACGAAGATTCTCTGAAATATACGAAGCCCTCGATAGATGAAGCGAAATTATATGACAGTTGGTGGAACAATAGAAAAATAGGAAACTACGTGCTAATCTATTTGTTTACGACTTAGACTTCCAAATATGAACATTTCATCTCGTCGAAATGTCGACACTCGTCCGCAAAGGGTTAACACGTGGCGCACTGGTAACGAGAAATCTCGTTTTTAATGAAGACACTTAGCTATGCAACTTTGCTAATTACATTTAAAGAAATATTCAATTTGATTCGAATTGATTATCTATTTGAAATATATTACATAATATATCTGAGTTTTTCTGTGTATGATGATGTGAATTGATCTCACTGAAAATTGCCAGTCACAAATTAGTTTTCCGAAAATTAACTGGTACGCAGTGTTTTACCACTTACACCCTTTCCAAAGATAAATAGGATTAATTATTAATTGAAATATTAAGTTATATTCTTATCTATTATTCATACTTTTTAGGTTATCGAGTATTCCTTCGACTGCAAGTGGAAATATACAGCAATGGTCAGACGTGTATGGCAACTTCAAGCTGACTGATGTACTGATCGTCACTTATATGAATTTAAACTGAGGAGCACACTTTTAACATCTACCAAGCCTGCAAACATTATGTTTTGCCACTTAGTTTAAAGTAAGTAGAAGAACTATAAAAATATTCATGATATGTATGTTTCTCCATTTCTTAATTAAATACTAATACCATATCTCATGTTTTGCCTGGTTCAAAGTAAATAAAAGAACCATAGAAACATGATATGCATGTTTCTCTATTTCTTAATTAAATACTAATAACATATCCCATGTTTTGCCTGGTTCAAAGTAAATAGAAGAAACATGTAAACATGATATGCATGTTTTTTTATTTTTTAATGAAATAGTAATAATGTATCCCATATTTTACTCGATTCAAAGTAAGTGAAAGAACCATGCAGCATGATATGCATGTTTCTCTATTTTTTAATGAAATAGTAATAACATATCCCATATTTTGCCTGATTCAAAGTAAGTGAAAGAACCATGCAAGCATGATATGCATGTTTCTCTATTTTTTAATGAAATAGTAATAACATATCCCATATTTTGCCTGATTCAAAGTAAATAAAAGAAACATACAAACATGATATGCATGTTTTTCTATTTTTTAATGAAATAGTAATAACATATCCCATATTTTGCTTGATTCAAAGTAAATGGAAGAACCATGCAAACATTCATGATACACATATCTTTCTATTTCCCGATTAAATACTAATAACAAATATCTTACATTTCTCTCGTTTCAAAGTAACCAGAAGAAACACGAAAACCTGCGTCCATTGAATTTCCAGTTTACCAGTGGAGCGTTTATCCAGTCTTAATCCCCGATCGAACATTCGCCGTGATGGCGGTGGTTCCACGCGTCGCCTGTTAACTCGATAATTAATTTCAGCGGCAGTTACTTAAACGTCCCCGGAACTGTTTCGAATTGGTTCGAATGTTGTCTCAGGTCGCGGTGTAACAGCGTCGCGGCCCGTAACGCTCGCGCGATGAAAGTAAAGGTTTCGGGAACTCGTGTAATTTGTCGAGTAAACTGTCGACGGCTGACACTGCCGGCGACGCCGTCGACGACGATGGTGACGACGGCGGTTGCGACGGAGTTAATGGGAACGGGGTGGCCGAGATTTACGGAAGTGAATTCGGTTTGCGGCCTCGGTTCGAACGAGTCGCTGCTGGATAGACGCCGGGTTGTTAACGCGGCAAAAATTTAATTAGTTTTTATCGATTCGAACGAACCGTGGCTTGTTTCCGGTCGCGAGTGGCCCAGGGAATCGGTAAACCGTGCACGCTCTCCGAGCATTACGCTGCACCGATTTAGAATGTTTATAGATATTTGTTTCCCGAACACTCGATCGTTGATCCACTCTGTTTTCCTATTTTTCAGAAAGCTCGAGGATGCAGCTCGAGTAGAAGCGACGGTTACTGGAATCGCTCGCGATTAACTCACCGGAAGACGGAGGAGCTTCGCGACCGAGGAACTCTCGTTTTCCCTGTGCCCCGGGCCTTTTCAACAATTTCCCGCCACTTTCCCTGCCTTCGTCTCTAGTATGACTAGGCTGTGTATGGTTTCAACGTTTCGAAACTCTCACCGATATTTGGAACCATCGAGGGACAGTGTTCTCGCGATTAGGAGCTGAAATCTGGACTGCAACTGGGTCCTTTGCAAGAACAGACAGTATCCAAGTGATCTACGATGCCTCCAGGTTAGTATTGTATAGTATTCTTACAATTAGTAGCTAATAGCTAGGATCCTTTGAAAGAACAGGACATCATCTAACTGATCCACAAACTTAGTCCTGGTTAGCATTGTATAGTATTCTCAAGATTGGCAGCTGAAAATCTGCTGCCAAGTTTGCAAGAACAGACAGCATCCAATTGATCCTCAAACTTATGCCTCCTGGTTAGCATTGTATAGTATTCTTACAATTAGTAGTTAAAAATTGGAACTACAGTCGGGTCCTTTGGAAGAACAGGACATCATCTAACTGATCCTCAAACTTAGCCTCCTGGTTAACATTCTATAGTATTCTCTAATAACTAAAAATCAGGACTATTTGTGAATCAACTAGATGCTGCCCTCTGTTCTTTCAGTTCCGATCTTCAGCTACTAACACTAGATTTACAGAACACGTTAATTAGACGCACATTGAATTTTACAATCATTTAGTAAATGTTTCTGATTAGCCTCCGAAAATCAGGACTGCAACCGTACTAGCGAGAACACTGTACGACGCTAGCCCAGAGGCATAAGTTTCTGGATCAATTGGACGCTGTCCTCTGTTCTTGCAAAGGCAGGCGTCCTCTCGCATAAGGGAACGCGACAACGATGCCTGGCTACTCGAAGTGGCTCCGTAATTAGTGGGATCACCCTTTGACCGGGAATGAAAAGTGGGAATCACCGAGTCCGCTCGCGAGCGTTAATTGCGTCCGTTCCCTGTCACCGTTGGCATCCGGGTTGCGGAAGACTGGCCCCGGGATCAAACATGGGGCTAACAATAGCCGCGTCGCGTCCACCCTGCACGACTCGCGGCGTTTTCATTCCCGATCGATCGAAACCTCGATCGGATGCACAGAGGGAATCGCTCTGGTATCTGTTTTTTATCTTCTTACCTTTGTGTCTAATTTTCATCCCTTATTTCTATATCCATCTAACCTCTGTCTCTATCTTGTAGCTCTGGTGTCTATCTACATTTTGTTTATTTATTCAAGAACCAACGATTCTCTTTTCCCAGCTTCCCAATTGAACGATCTATCTTCAAAGTATTTCTTTTAATAAGATCCTTTTTTATTAAAAACATTTACTATACAATTTTTAATTTACGGATCAGACAGGAAATCACTGTGTTTTATATTTTATTAGCTTTATGTCTAAGTTTCATCCGTTATTTCTATATCCATCTAATCTCCGTCTCTATCTTGTAGCTCTGGTATCTATGTACGTTTTGTTTATTCAGTTACCAACGATTCTCTTTTTCCCAGCTTTCCAATTGAACGGCCGGGACGTTGCTCGCGACTTCAGGAACGACCAGCGGGAAGTTCCCGACCCTAAAATCCGGTGAAACACGCAGATCCCGTGACTGTGGACCGCGCTTACGAGCTGCTCCGTATTTCTACCCCTTTGTTATCCTAGCCTCATCCTGCCGCGGCTTAAAGCGGCTTAACCGACGTCTCTGTTTCTCCGTCGGACGATTTTAATTCGTTGCAAAAACTGGGGGAGAAAGGCGGCCGAAACTCTTGCGTTGGGAAGACGCGCCAGGTACGTCGAGATGTTTTTGTTACAAAATTGCTGATGACATGTTATAAACAGTATAGTCGCATTGGTTATACTAGATTGTTCTGAAATGATACAGAATTATTAACCCTTTGCGAGGAGTTTTTGAAATAGTGAGGAAGTTAAGTGGATCAAATTCCTAAATGCTGGAGACAGAGAAAACTAATCACTCTCTTATCATTTGAACGCATCAATTGTTTATTCACAACATGAAAATAATACTCTTACGTTTCCTGTATACAATCTGTTAACATAAATGCTATGTGGGTCACCGGTGACCCCCAACCAAATCGAACTACTATAGTTCATCAATTAAACCATGATTATTTGAAAACATTCCTATATTATAAATAATGATACCAATCGCGGTGGCATTTAGATAGATCAACGTGCAACAATAATTATGCAATTCAAATGAATGATTTAACATTATATTCTTTCCATTTTGTATGTGTTGTGTGTGTTGAATGTCGACATTTCGACGAGATGAAATTTTCATATTTGGAAGTCTAAGTCGTAAACAAATGATTTAATTAATGGAATCGCAAGAGATTAGCACATAGTTTCCTATTTTTCTATTGTTCAAGTAATTGTTATATAAATTAGCTTCATCTGTTGAGGGCTTTGTAGATTTCAGAGAATCTTCGTCCGCAAAGGGTTAATAAAGAAAATTAGGCATCCAAAATAGGTAAAAACAAAGTTCCTCGCGCAGAATTCTCAAATCTGTGCTGGCAGTTACTTCGCCAATAGAGAGCCACTCCTAGTCAGAGTGAATTTTGTAAGTATATAAGCATCCGTTAAACTTTTAACGGATCTACTAGGCTGCCTCGCTGCGACGAGTGCACTGGTAGATCCCAGACGAAATGCCTCATTCGCACTCTGCCAAACTTTTCTTAGTTCATCCTTTTTCAGTGCGTTCCACGGTCGCCTCGAATCTCTAAATTAAATCGGAGCGCAAGAGGCTACAAACCAGTGGTAACCATCACGGAGAAAAATAAGTGGGTGTCATAGAATGTCATGGAATCGAACGAGAAAAGCCGAACTCACACCTTTCCCCATTTTTATTCCAGGCACGGGCTATTTCGCGTCTCTGTTTCCTTCCTCTCGGCATTGTTACCGATCGCGGCTGCTTACGCGAGCATTTCCGGCGAGTTCTTTGGGCGAAGGCGATGTCTAGCACCGGAAAACCTGCAGGGTGCCGTACACGTCGATGCAACGACACGGGTATTAACAACACTTTGACTGGAGAGTGAACATTCGGCAAAATTCCTATGCGGAGGAAACAGTTTTCTTAACGCTAGATTTACGGATATTTAGTGTTCGTTGTATCTTAGGAAGATGGATATTTGTTTAGATTTTGGAAATATAAATAAACGATTAGAATGTATATTTGCGTAACTGTCAGTCAAAATTGACTCTGACATTTTGAATGTTTATAGAATTCAATGAGTCAACTTGACTCGTTCCGTGAATCTAGTGTTAATAAACTAGAAGCTAACATTGTAATGTTTAAGTTTCTGTAAAATAGTGTCACATGGTAGGTGAAGTGTTAAAGGATTCCTGAATGTACTGGTACGAAGTCTGTGTCAGTGTTTCCCAAGATAGCAGGTGAGTGAATTGAATTTCGTTTGATCTTCCGGTACAGGAAGACGGAAATAACCAGAAAACTAAATCAAAATATTTCGGTTCCCCAGTGCTAAATGCGTCGCATTGATTTTGTAAATCTGAACTTCCTCTGAGACGGGAGACAACTGCCGACAACCAATGCTAAAAGGTCCAATTTAAATCGTCAACCGCCCTCGTCCCTCGCTGCGTCTCAAAAACCAAAGTCTCCTCTAAAGCCCCGCGGCTCGCATTCCCTTCTTGGGAACTAGGACGAAAGGAGCGCATTCCTGTCTGTCGAGAATGAAATCCAAGCCTCGTCGCGCGGTTCGCGTGTCAAAGTCCTCGATCGAGTTCGTAAGCCTTCTAATTGATCTCCATTCTACGGGAATATCGTGCCACTGTATTGTTCAAAGAATATCCCCGCGTTCTCCGCGATAATTACGAAAATATATTCATCGCTCTTGTCTTTTTCCAGAGCTCGCGGAACCGTGAATGGAATCCCATTAGGAACGGAGCATCGAGGACACGTTCGTTCAGCGATCGGCGATCCGGTTCCGCGCGAGAACGCCGCTGGACGAGGATCGGCGGGGTTACGTCCGTGACGGAGATAGATAAATAGATAAGTAGATGGACGCGGAGGAGGATGGGGCGACGGATAACTAGGCCGAGAGGGAACCGAGAGGAAACCGAGAGGAAACCGAGAGGGAACCGAGAGGGAGCCGAGAGGGAGAAAGACATGGGAAGACAGACTTTCGTAGAGGGTGGAGTTAGAGGGTCGAAGGAAAGAAAACGGGGTAAGAGCGAGGAGCGGAGACCGCCGAGAGACGGACGAAGACGCGCCGAGCGAGGTTCAGCGCGAGTGGGAGTAAAGAGAAGCGGACCCAAAGAGGGAGGAGTTGAAACGTTTGCGAGGAAGACGGAGGCCGTGGGAGCTGTGGGTGGCAGTGCGAGCGAGACGGCGCGGGGGCGGGGGCGAGCGGGACGCGGATCCCGGAGCGTTCGGTACCATTGCATATCCCGCACATCTCGCAGGTGCAGGGCGTGGTGCCTTGTCGGCAATATCGATTACAAACCCGGGCGGTTGCGCATTCACGTCGACACGTGGACGTGGACCGGCAACCAGACTAAATTTGTGTTGCCCTATATTTTAGGTTCCTGCACTCATCTGCCTCTCAAAGATTGATTGCTTTTCTCTCTAGCGGCCGGGAGCCAGCCGGTCCCGTTGCCTATCCTCTCTCGTCCTACAACGGGCCGCCACACGCGCACGAAATTTCTGCTCTCCCCGGCGCCGCGGCGTGTCCAAGGGATCCGTGCCCCACCCATTCCTACGCGACTACACCCCCCCTCCGTTTCACCTTCTCCCGGCCTCTCCACCGTCGTCTGGACTCTCTCCCGACGAGGATCAGGTTTTCCGGTCG